TTTGCTTTATTGATATAGGCGACCGTAACAGAATCAGGGTTTCATGATTCTATTAAAGTCACATATATCAATAAAGCAGAGGTCCAGTATTTCTTGTGGAATCTGTTTCCTGGCCTGGCCTACCTGAGAGGGCGTGGTAGCGTTTCATTCCATACAGAGCGCTACATATATTGTATTATTACAAACAGAGTAATGTTAACTAGTAATATGACTAATACAGATTTATTTATTTTTATCTTCAAGGTTTAATGCATGTGCACAACAAACTTGTGGAACCTCTACATAGTATGAAAGAGCAAAACTGAAGGACAAATCCACACTGGATTCATTGGGTTAACCCTGGCAGTGTGTTTCAGGGAGCAGACTGCCACGCAATATCGTGAAAAACTGGCTGAAACCTAGTATCTTTCAAACCCAGGGTTTGTTGTTCTTTTTCCTTGCGGTCCAAATATACGCGCACATTCCTCTCAGTGCTGTTACAAGGCCTGTTCTCTGCTTCCCCAGACCTATTTTGCCTGCTGAATATTGTAAGCTGTCCGGAATGATGGAACAGTTATGGTGGAAGAGGATATCTCAAAGAAGCTACCCAGGGGGAGAACAGTGTTCTCGCAGGGGTCTCTGCAGGATGTGGTCAAAAACGGTGGAGATGGTGCCCGCCCCAATGTGATTTAAGTTCCACTTTTTTTTACGTGCAGGATTTTGATCACACCGTCATGGCCTTCTTGACTTTTCTGACTGTACCCTGCAGACACTCCTGGCTCTTTAACTCGAATACAAACACTTCTTTGTTGCTCTTGCTTTCGATCTTGGCCTCTTGTCATTAATCATGACTGAGCAGCAGGCACTTTACAATCAGATGTTTACATACAACTCTCATGTCTACACCTCAGCAATTCATTGCCTTAAAATCTACACCTTCTTACCTGTGGGGGTAGAATATGGTGCGGAAGAGTATGAGCAGAGTATCTATCCTGTAAACAATCATTCTGGCAATTTTTTGAAAGCTGCCCTTGCTTTGTTAGTTTTCTTTTTAAAAAATGGCCATCTTCTAGACTAACCTTAAATGTTTACTTATTTCTTTCTGCTGTGATACTCATTTGAAAGGGGAGGGATGTTAAATAATTTGGGCCGTTTTCCATGGTTATTCTTGCCAGAAAGGGGAAATGGGCGACGGAGTCTATATATTTTGAATGCCAATGCAACTGTTAAAATCTCCTGTGCCATGCTCATATGATTTTAGCTAAAATAAAGAATCGTATTGCTAACTCCTGTGCTTGCCATTCATTTTCCAAGAGTCATGTGGGTTTAAAGAGAGATGGGAATTTTCCTCTGGGGAAGGAGGAAGTGGATATGCTGTATTACTTCCTTCAGCAAAGCAAGAGACTCCCTTCACCCTCATGAAAGGCCCTGGATTTGGTTGCTCACATCTGAGATAAAGCAGGAGAAGCTACTATAGTATTGAGGATTCAGCCTCCCAATTTCTGGAACGTGTAGGAAGCCATCTGAGGGCATCATGCCCAAGTCTGTTCCTGACATTTTCCATCCATTTTTAAACCTGTTGTGGGAATTGAGTGGGAAAAGCAGCAAGAAAACTCTATGGGTAATATGAGCCACTATCATGCCACCTTTAACTGCCCAAACCCTGGAGCTCTTCCATCTTGTAAGCCGCTTGGCCACTTTTAAGATATGTGGGCTTCAACCATGTGGAGTTGAAATCTACACATCTTAAAGTGGCCACGCTTGAAAAACACTGATTTAAGCCTTTTCTGCTAATTATTTATTCAATTTGTATGGCCGTCCATCTCAGCAAGTGACTTTGGGTGGCAAACAATCTTAAATTAAAAAATAAATTTTCATCATGAGTACAAAAACTGAAATACACAGCAGCCGAGGGAATGCTACAATCCACGGTTCTTAATATAACCAGGAGACGGGACCCTTCACACACTCGGGACCCCAGGCCTGGGCACATAACCAGGTCTTTAGGGCCTTATGAAGGCTAGCAGCATCAGGGTGTTATCTTGGTCCGCCAGGAACTACAAAACTAAGCACAGCCTAATTCTCTCTACCTACAAGTCCCTTAATGTCTGTGGGCTCCCACGGGGGAAAGAAAATACGCCCCTATTACTAATCCCTATCCTGCCTCCCCTCTCCTCTCCGCCACTGCCACTCAGCTAGCTTTCCTCCAAGGTAACAGGTAACAAAGCGTAACAGATTTTACACACCTTGAAGCTTCCCCTGGACAGTATTGGTATAAGAGGGGAAATACTAATATATTGCTAGTACAACTAAGGACAACTTGAGCCTGTCTTTTATTCAGGGGCTAGGAACAAGATGAAAACAACGTCCTAGGCACATAGCCAGGGCATATTTAGATTGTACAGAAGGTTAACACCTACCATTTGCCATTCACGCACGCATGCTAACAGCATGTAGGTAATATATACCTATCATATAGAAAGAGCAAATGGGGATACACGCTTAGTGTGTTTAGACAGCTATTGTGACGGAATGTATCTACGAAGAGGAGGGTGATGTGAGTAGCAGCAGAGAGCAAGGCTATCAGGAAGGAGGGGGCATATTTCAGGAGGCAAAAGGCAACACAGTCCGGAGATGGAGCGTGGGAAGAGTAAGAGGTTCAGGACAGCCACTCCCTAAAATCTCCCAGGGTAGATCCACTCGTTGCTGTAGTGCAGATTTAGTCTGGCCAGGTTCTGTCTATAAGGTATACGCAAATAAAGGAACTGAACTCAACTCGACTGTTTCACCCTTGTTCTTGGGCTGGGCCTGACAGTTACAGTATTCGATGCTACCGGCTCTATGCAATAACCATGAAAATATACCAGCAAGAAATAGAATCTTTTTGCTATAAAGTTGCTCCAGAGATCCAGTACTTCAATTTATTTACAGCAGCTTGTCAGATTTCTGCCCCTGGAATCCATCAACTGTTTGACATCCTCTGCTGGGGAAGTGGAGTTCGGTTCAAATATACCGTTGCTGCAAATTCTGAAGTTTATACAAATGGCATCAATATAGATGAGAAGTCAGTATACTGTAAGGCAGGTAATCCAATCTATAGTCCACACTAAGATCGACGTATTTTTAAAAAACACAGACTAAGCAAGCCCATCCCGAAGAGCCGATATTGGTACAGCAAGTTTATTTACCCAGCATAGCCGAGAGCTTGCAAATGTCAATATCCAGATTGTAATCAAACATGGAAAGAGATGAGGAGGCACAGGTTTGAAAGTCGCTGGCACAAGGCACTGCCCTCAGAAATTGCATCGAAAGATGTCAGCAACGCTCTCGGACGCTATGCTGTGCTTTCGACTTTTAAGGCGTAAAATGTTCTGCCATCAGCTTCAGCGCTTTACTGAAGAGTCGCATTAGGTCGGTGTCAAATCCGCACATTAATATTGATGAGATCAAATTCAAGACAGGGATACCCAATTTGTAAACAGCTGGTTCAACAGTTCATCAGCTTGACTTCTAAAAAAGCTGGAAGCAATATCTATAAATTACTTGTCAAGCTGCTTCTTGAGAACTTTTATAAAAGCGTCCTTTGGCACTTCCACGTTCCCAATTTTCCTCATCTTCTTCTTTCCTTCTGCTTGCCTCTTCAAAAGTTTCATCTTCCTTGTAATATCGCCTCCATACTGTTTTTTAAAATATAGATATACATATATTAATGCATCGAGATGAATAATTCACAATACCAACCAGAAGACTGCAAATCATCTTTGATAACATTGCTACTATCCTAAACAATAAAAAGTATGTTAAAAACTGTGATAATTGTATCAAACACTCCATATGAATTTAACCTTGGTTCTAGCTTTAAATGAAGTAGATGAAATCTTACTAAAAAAATAAATAAATAAAGTGGCTCACATACATTAAGCATTTTTAAAAAATGAAACACTAATCTCAGACTCACGAAAACGGATTTTAACACACAGGAAGTTATCTGTATTCAGCAATTATCATTAAAGGACAAGGAAGGAATGATTTGACTTTCTTTTTGCAGAAAGCAGAGAAATTGGTACTTACACATTTTGCCAAAACATTCTTTCTAAAGGGTTTTAGCCTGGAAAATAAAGTAAGCCAAGTTGCATTTTAGAGGGTATAATACAAAGTATTCCATAATTTGAAGTTCTGAAGAAGCAAGTAATTGCTAATTATGTGCTTTTAAACCTTTCTGTACGCTGCCTTTGCCATTGGGTGATCTAATAAATCAAAATAAATAATGCCCTTTGGCAATGAGAAGCCACTTAACTTAAAAGTTAATATCTCCTTTACTCTTGTTTTCGAATGTATTTAAACCTTCCTTTTTCATGCTACTGGAATCCAGTATAATTTCAGTCTACTTTTCATATATCAAAGAGAACACTTTATCAGAGAAAATCCTGATATCCATTGTGACCAACTTATGTAAATACCCTTCCTTTCAAGAGAACACCCCTTTTCTTCTTTTAATTCAAATGTTTTATGTATATATTTTAATTTATATTCCTTTTGCAGATGCTCCACAAACCGCTGAATGCAACATTTCAGCTATTACAGAAACCCAGCCACCCGTGCCATATATTCATTCTAAGGAAGCTTCAATGGCTGGTGACTAATTCCAGGTTAATATGAAGAGCCTGAACTTGAAATGTTCCATCAAAACGGCCACCACAGTAGGCTGTTCCTTGACACTTCTCCAGGTGTTTTTGGCTTTCTAGAATACCTTGCATACACCCTAGCCATCGGGTGCAAAAGGAAACTGCTAAAGAAATACCAACTGGAAGGAAAAGGAAGAAAGATAACAGGGAAAGGAAGAAGGGAAAGAAGAAGTCTACTGGCTGTTAAATGGAATCTGAAGCCAATATGTAAGGTGCTGGGAGCCCAGACTTTCAGCTTTCCTGGCTAGAAACCATTGGTGATACCCTGAGGTATGGCATGCATCAAATCAGTGTATGCCACTGACGACCTGTCTGCTTGGAGAGCTCCATGACACGGTTTTGAGCACTGCCTGGATTGTGAGGTACTTCTCCAGGCACTGGAGGGCCAGCTAGCTGCCAGTACTGGAGGTCCAGCCAGCATTGAACTTGTGGCTACCATTTTGCCTGTCTTCAGGTTGTCTCCCTAATACGCTAATTCCTAAAGAGCTGGCAGCAGAAGGAGGTCTTGGTTGGTGGCTGCCAACTTAGAACATGCTCTGTGGGTTGGATTCTGCAGTTGGGCTCTGCTCCAGGGAAGCCCTGCAAGCCCTGGAAGTTGTTCTGGAGCAGTTTGACTGTGCTGCATGGATCTTTTAACACTGACTGGATTTGTGAGATTGCAATTTTGGATTGCAAGAACTTTAGATTCTATCAGCACTGACTTCCTTATTGCTGCACCTTGCATAAGAACATCAAGAGGCCATCTTCAGGATTGGTGTTTGGGTGGTGGCCTGGAGAGCTACGCCCTGTGTGAGAGCCATGGACACCAGGGTTCCCAGTGTTGTTTGTGACCTTCTGTCTTTACTAAGAGTAAGGTGGGGAACAGGTGGCTAGGGGAGTAGAATGGGTTGAAGCAGCGCTAACAGGGTGATTGAGGAGCTTCAAAACTTGAAGATCACCTGGAGTGATTGTGATTTGGTGCTAGATAGTAAAGACCCCAGGAGGGGGGTCATGGGGCAGGAGAGGCAATTTTTGGGAAGAGTATTATGTTTCTGATCAGCTCTGGGAGGTATAGTGGGAAGTCAATAACAGGCCATACCCATGGAAGGAGGGTTCAATATCTCCAACCAATCCCTCCTTCCAGTTGTCAGTCCTTATTGCAAGAGCCAAGGTATCAGTTCCTTGGGGCCCTGGGGTTTTGGCTGCCGCTACTAAATGCCATGTCTGCTGTAACAAAACCATCCTCATGTTAATTGTGGATTATAGGCCAGACCTGGCTTGCATTACAGAGATCTGGGTGGGGAGGATAGGGGACTTCATCTCTCAGAGATCTCCCCACTCACGTTTTGGGTTTGGCACCAGCTGTGGTCTCAGTGTAGCACAGTGGGATAGCCATTCTCATCTGTGAGACTCTACTGGCATCAAGAAGTGTTGCTCCATAGATAACTGGATGCAAGACCCTGTTTGTCTGGTTGGGTCCAAAGGGGCAGTTGAGCTTGCTACTGAGGGACCCCTTTCCTGCTGCACAGCTTCATCCCTGCTAGGGCTGCTCAGCCTAATTACTGAGGAATTGGTGGGGTTCCCCAAACTGGTGGTGGTGGAATTCAACCTGCCTTTCCTAAGCGAGGAGTCAGGAGAGGCCCAGGAGCTAATGACTGCCATGATAACTGTGGACTTGACCCAACTGATCAAGTCCCTGATGCACGTAAGAGGTCATACACTAGATATGTTTTTTGTCTTGAGACAGACATAATGTGATCTGAAAGTGGGGGGCCCCATACAGTGAACAAATCACTCTCTGACTGCTATGAGGTTTTCCAGTGTAACACCACCCACAGTAGGGAAGAGCCAGTCTGCTCCAGATGCCTAATAGATCCAGTGGGTTTTTAGAGGGCTTGAGGAGTTTCCCAGGGATCTAGTGGATCAGATGAAATCCTGTTTGCCCAGTTAAACCAGGGGGGGGGGGAGCTTTGGCACTTGACCAGATTGAACCAGAGCAGCCTCTCCCTTCTGGCACTTCCAGTCAGTGATGGTAGGAAGGAGAGGCCTGCTCAAAGGCCTCCACTTTGTGGAATGTCTCAAGGTTCTCTCCTCTCTCCATTTCTTTTTAATATCTATCTGAAACCACTGGGGGAGGTAATCCATTGGTACAGAGTCCAAGATCATCCATATGCTGATGGTCTTGACCCCATGCCAAACAGGTGATACAGTAGAATCTGCAGTGCCCAGAAGCTGTCAAAGTCTGGAGAATAACAACTCAAATTCCAAGAAAGAGTGGCTTTGGTGTTTGTGGGTCAGCCAGTTCCAGAGAAATACCATCTCTGACTCTAAATGAAGTTGCACCCCCCTGTTTAGAGTTGGTTTGTAATTTGGGGGTCCTCTTAGACTCACGGTCCCTATTCAGCAGGTGGCAGCTGTAGCCGGGAGGGCTTTTATACAATTAAATTTTGTTTACCAATTGCAGCCATTCCTGAATCAGAAGGCCCTCTTCACAGTCACTCATGCCTTGGTCACCTCCCACTTGGATTACTATAGTGCATTCTACATGGGAGAGCTCTTGAAAAGCTTTCAGAAGTTACAGCTGATACAAAATATGGTGGCCCAGGTAGTGATGGGTGTATCCTGATAAAGTTAGGTGACTCCCACTACTTTAGGAGCTGCAGTGATGCTGGTTGGCTTCTGAGGTTTTCAAGATGCTGGTTGCCACCTTTAAGGCCCTACATGGCCCTGGACCAGGTTATCTGAGGGACCATCTTTTCCCATATTTATTTGCCCATCCAATCAATCAAATAAGGAAAATTCCCTCCTCGTCCTGTCTATATGAGAATGGCATCAGATGGGCCTTGGAAGTGGGGGAATTTTCGTTCACCATTCCCATAATCTGGAATACCCTCCTCAGGGGAGTTCAAGTCTGTTCCTTTTCTTTTGAGTTTCAGGAGAGCAGTTAAGACTTGGTTGTTCCATTAAGTATAGAAGGAGTGCATGCTATGATTGAAGATCTGAATTTAGTGAATGCATGTTTGTGTGTGTGTGTACACTGTATGTGTGTGTATGTACAATTTCGATACTCTATTTGGCTTATTTTATGGGTTTATTTATTTAATTATTTATGGTGGAGGTTGTTTTTCTTTTGCCTGATGATTTCTGATTGTTAGCTGCACAGAGCTTTCAAGAATGGGCAATCAATCAATCAATCAATCAATCAATCAATCAATCGTATCTTAATTCAGAATAAGACCTTTTCAGATCTTTGACACGCTTCTGAAATCAGGTTAATCAGGTCAAAACACTGCATCATTTACATCCACCTTCAGTAGAATTCTTAAAGCAAGGTGTGCCCAAATATGAAGAAGCTCTCCAGAACTTGTGACAAATTGTAATTTCAAACATGGCAGAAAGAGAAAAATAATGTGCATGGGGAATAATCATGTTAAAAGAATTAAAATGATTTTCGTTACTTTCAATCAATGCACTTTTGCCTAGGCTCGGCCTACTTCTTGAAGGAATGCAATCCCTTAAAGGCCAAGACTAATTCTCAGTCTGAAACACCTACTTTAGAGAAACCAGGATTACAGTCTGAATGTCAAGTAATCACTAAAAAAGAAATTTTAACAGTTAGGAGAACTGAAAACAGGAGAAAGTTATACAGTTATCTTTTAAAACCAAGTCAACCATAACGACTTACGTTTCTCTCGCAATTATTTTGTTTCCAAGAGCTGCCTGGATAGCTATTTCAAACAATTGCCTTGGAATAATGTCTCTTAATCGCTCACACATATGTTTACCAACGTGGTAGGCTTTGTCTCTGAAAAAGAAAAAAAGTAAGAATGTGTCTGCCCCTGGGCCCTTCCCCAGAGAAGGTGTCAACGGGAGCATCATGAATGAGAACTTCTCAACAATGGCGTCCAAACCCACCCCATCCTGGAACCCAAGTTTGCGAACCCTTTCCCTGGATACATCTATCTTCCTTGAATGGTGTCAGCCCTCCCAGGTAAACCAGACAGGAAACAAGACCAGATGAGCTAATTCTACATTATTGTAAGGCTACATTAACAGAATCTTGTGAGTCTGAAGGCATAAATCTCCCACCCTCCCTATTTACCGCCTGAGTAGTTACAGTGGGTCCTTTCTAAGTTTCTTTTTCTGGCCACTACCCTGTTGCAGACTCCTTTTATCTGATCATTCCTTAGGTAGCATCTCTTTCCCCCGTCTCCCAAGGCCACCCTCACATTCCATCACAAATGGCGACTGCTTTTCTAGCCTGATCTTTTTCATATTCAGTATAGCACTTATTGGTTTGGATCTAAAGAATCTGTGAATATATATCTGGGCTTCAGAATCTTAATAGAACAGATTTATTGGCTTCCGATCTTGATTAGGTAACTCCGCTTTCTCAACCTACTTGCTCAACCTCAATAGGATATATGGAAATCTTAAACTTCCCAGTGTAAGCTATAAAATATGCTAATATTTTCCACTTAGATAAGGCTAAGTTAATGCAAACGTAGAGAAAGGACTGAGAGACAGACAGACAATCTCTATGCAGCAAAACTGAGAATCCCCCAAAACAGTTGGGGATTATAAACAAAATTAGGAAATCACCCTTAAAATAGCAAATCCAGATAGCTTCCATAGGATTCTGGTTACACTACTTATCATTTATATTTCAGGGGTTATTTTTTTATCCATGTAAACTTTCAACTGCAAGAGTAAATAAAATGTTGGTTTTCTTCAGAATAATAATTTTAAAAAATGCATGGAAAAGGCATTATGTGGTTTGGGTAGTTTATCCAAATGATATTTACTATGCTTTTTAAAAATGAACATGCATTTAATGGACTTACCTAGGTACAATAGTTATCAGTTCTCCTACAGCTTTCCCATTTAAAAGAATATCCATTTTGACAAGATCCGCAGGCTGGTATCCTGCATCTTCATAGTCAAAACTGAAAATAGCAGTAGTCAGGTCAACTAACTTCCTATTTGAACACCCTAAAAGATTACAATTTCTAACATACACTTTGGATAATTTCTGAAAAGGCAGAGTTTTTGCCCCTCAGTAAAATGCCTCTTTTTCACATGCATTTATAATGCCATCATAAAGCAAGTTTACTCTACTTTGTTTATACCCTTAAACTATAAGGTAGCATGTGTCTTTTGGATGAACATGATGCGTAAGCCCTTCCCAGGAGAAAGCATGGTTCACAAACCACAGTGGGTGGATTTGGACATCATGCTATGAGAAAGATATATCATGGTTTAGCATGACATATGAAGCATACTTTACTTCAACCATATCTATAAACACACAAATATATGCAATTATTATTCCTCTACCTCCAATGTGCGAGATGGCCACAATTCTTAAGAGCTTTTTTCCTTATGAGGTATACCTTCATATTCCACTAGAGTTTGCTAGAGTACTTAAAAATCAAGAAGCTAGATAGCACTGGAAGGAGGAAAATCTTATCTAGGATAAGATCTTAAAAGATCATGGAGAAGCCAACTCTCATCAGATGCACAGGTAAGCCTGTGGGAGAGTCCTAGACAATTAAACCTGTGTATTCTGCCTATCATAAATACATGCACGTGTATGGACGCACATCAAACACCCAGCAACCCTCAAATGCATTTGGGCATCATGCATTCTCCAAGCCCCAAATCATGCACCTTATCTTCAAAAAGCTAATAGAATCTACCACTGGATTCCCAGCTGTGGTGTTCAAACTTCTACAAGTAGGGGGTATCTTACCATGATACAAAAGTTACATTACCTGGCATAGCCAGAGGAGAGGGATTTCAGGGCATCAAAGAAATCCACTACAATTTCATTCAGTGGAAAGAGGTGAATCATCATGACTCTGTGATCATCAATGTACACCAAGTCCTTCTGAACAGCTCTCCGAGTCTGACAAAGTGACACAGAGTCTGAGATGAGCGCCAACTTTTCTGTTATAAGAAATCTTCACCAAATACTAGATGTGGGTGAGGAATAAAAACGACCCTGGCAATTAACATAGTAAATGATGCAGTCAGGTTTCAGAGTTTCTTTGCGGAATAAGTTTAATTGCCCCAAATTCTAACAATTCTGACTGCTAAAATAGTACAGGTGGCCCTTGAATTACAATCATTTGTTCAGTGACTATTCGAAGTTACGGCGAACAGTCTCTGCCCTTTTGACCGCCCTGCACAGCAGCACTCCTTGGCGGTAGCAGAGGCCCAGGGGCAACGGCAGCCAGCTGAGACTGCTGAAAGCCCTGGGCCTCTATTCCAGCCCCAACACCGCTGCTGCCAAAGAGCGCCGCGCTGCAGAGCGGCCAAAAGGGCAGAGATGGGGGACAGACAGGTGGCTGGGGGCAGTTCAAGAGGAGGCGGTCCCTTCCTTACCTTGCCAAGGCTCAGGGCTGGGAAAGACCAAGCCAAGAATGGCTTGGATGGGGCTGGGTCCTCACCTAACAACCGGTGGGATTCGGTTAATGACAGCAATGGGGAGTGCTAGGATTGCTGTTGCTAAGCAATGGGGTCACCTGATGTTTCGCCTAAATACCGCATTGCTTACTGATGGAAATTCTGGTCCCAATTACCCTTGTAACTCGAGGACTACCTGTAAATAGATTCATGAAAAGAATAAAAATACTGTATTTGATTACTTAGAATACAGTGACCCAGAATCCATAGACCTTCTTACCCTGCTGAAGGCCAAACACCAGAATGGCCAATAGTCAGGGATGATTTGAGATTTTAAATCTGGAAGTCACAGATACTATAACTTTGATTGCAAAGTGAAAAATAGCATGAGGAGATCAAAGAGTAATATTGTATTATTACAGAAGACCTACAGCAATTTACTCAGAACAAAGTCTTATCTTTTATCTCAAAAGGAGCCCATTTGTAGAAAACACATTTGTTTGGACTAATTTGTTAAAAAAGTGTTTTTTATTAAATAATAATAATAATGGTATCCTATAACAGGTTCAAAATACTGATTGTAGATTGAAAATAAATGGTGTACTTAATCTGTAGAAGCTAAGCAAGTGCCTGAAAGTCAAATGTATTTTCAACAACTAAGTTTTTAATAAGCATTACTGAGATAAAATATGAAAATTGCTCTAATATAAATAGCAGTTGTAATAAACACAATACATTTTATTATCAGCAAGTCAAAATGAAGTCGTTCTTGAGGGCCTGGAGTTTCCCCATAAATGTGTTCAGCACAGACCTTCTCCATGCCCAACAGTGTACTGTAGAATAAACCACAGTTTACACAGGCTCAAGATGTTTGCTCATGTTTCAGATGAACCACGTTGACAGCCTGGCCCAGAGATTCTCAGCCTTTTGCATAATAAGCCCCACCGAGCACTCTATCGAGGACCCTGGGTCTCGCCATTACAGAAACAAAAATCCCATTTTTCTCCAAGAAGCGTTAATATGATTAGAGGCATTCCATTATTATAATTGACAATAAGTTTCAAAGGCTTAAATTTTTAATGAGCCTGCACTGTGCCCATGACACGTGTGTCACTGGTTAAGAACCCCTGATTCAGAACGCAGGGAACAAATGACTGCACGTAATTAAAACCCCGTGCGCCTTAATGCTCGGTAAGACTTACTAAGCAAACGGCAAGCACTATCAGAAATATACCCTCAATACAATAATACTCTCAACCTTATATACCAACCTGGCACAGAGCTAATATTTCCCCAATATATTCTTTAGGGGTTACAATAGTGCCTAAAACAATAGGCTCCAAATATTCCGCCACCATGGAATTATCAGGGAATTCTGCAGGATTTATGATGGTGATTTCCTCTTTTTTATGTTCCTACAAAACAGGAAGAGAAAACACCTATAGGAGGATTTTAACGGTTTTTCTTAATTAAAAAAAAATTAGCAAGGTCTTAAGAGATTTTTTTAAAAATTATATACCAGTCCATCTATAACCAAAAGTGGAAATAGATGACATGTAACTTTTAAGCAAACAAACTAGGGAAACTGATAACAAGTAAACATTTTACTTCGACAATACAAACATTGTAGTGTTATGTCGTAATTCTGCCCGCAACAATGGCTCACTCCAGAGATGTATCTCTCCCATATTTCTTAATTGCTTTATAAGCCCTTGTGATTATTCCTTTTCTTCCCCAATGCAGGGCAGATATGAATTACTATTATAATTAAAGGCTAATTTAAGCCTCCACTAAAAGCTAATTGGGAGGATCAAGGACTCAGGAAGAATTCGTGCAGAGATGCAAGCATTTTATAAAATCATTTTTTGTAAATTGGACTATTTTAGCTCGCTCTCAGGGGAACTCGGACCCATGCCAACAGCAGTGGAATAAAACCAGGATCGTAAGATTATTTCCTGACATTTCCCAAACAATTCCAAATCATCTTCTAGAGTAAAAGTTCTTATTTGAGAGCTTAGTAATGTAAGTCCTGGAGAATTCAAATAAATTATGAGAATGATAATCATTATGCCCAATTTATCCTCGTGCATTGACAATTTCAGACTAAAAAAAAATCATCACCTTTATCAATTTTGCGGAAGAAAGAATCGCCTTGTACGGAACTGTGGGGGCCGTCAAAATGACTGATGTGTTGTGTTCCTGCTCCAAACGCTGATTAAAAACCTCCATATGTAAAAGGCCAAGGAAACCCAACCTGTAAATACAATGTTTAAGTGACTTTTTTTAAGGGTACAAACCTGCATTTGCTAAAGAATCATTGTTTACACACACCAACTAGACATCTTAAATTTCCAAGCCAAATGAAAGAGAATTTACCCCAAATGTTGCATTTCACTAACAAGTCTTTATTTCAGTCGCGGACTAGCATAAAATACAAACAAGGAAAATTACTCTCATTTCAATAATTCCACTGAAACCTATAAGTGATAAAAGATAACTAAAAACTAGGATTGCTAGCACAATATTATAAAATTAAAACACTAAAACATCTCTATAAAAATTCTTAATGTTAATACTAAGACTATAGACTAAAGGGGGGGGGGGTTCTAAAGGCCACAAAAAGATGTAAAAAAAGAGTTAAAAAGATAAAAGGAAAGGAAAACTCTCAGTCAGTATACCGATGCCCAGTACCCTTAATTATCTGTTTGTGAATTTTAATTGCTACCAGGCAAAATCTAGTTACGTTGTATGTAATAAATGGCTCCGTATCTGAGAGGAGAAAATCAAGAAGACAGCTTTCATTATGACCTATGATATGTGTCAATAATGGAAGAATTCAAGTTTTTTTACTATGCTGGAAATAAGGGCAGCGTATGGGTGATGGTCTCAGTAGAGTTTATGCTACGTGGACAGGCTCTCAAACACATGGGGTCTTTGGTAAATCTCTCCTTAAGAACTGCGGAGGGCAAAACATCAAGCCTGCTGCATCCTACTAAAGAACATCTCAACCCAAATGAATGTGGTGAAACTCACCTCCATCCAGCTCCCAGCGCTAGACTACTGTCACGTTGAACAGTAACACTCGAGTCGTTAAGAGTCAGTTTCTCTAGTGCACTTTTCAAGCTGGAATATTCTGACTGGTCTGTTGGATACACTCCTGTCCAAACACACGGTGGAGTTATTGAGAAAGGCAACCAGCAGATATCCTATATGTGATTCTGCATTTTAATTAGACCCATTCAATACTGGCCATTGCAGAAAACCTATGATTTTTTCAACTGCGGCTTAGAATGGACAGACCAGATACCAATGTGTCTTTAATTTCATTTTCTATGTACAAGTCAATCAAACACACACAACCGAAAGATTTCCAAACTGATTGGAATTTTTTTTTTACAAACTTGGGCCAGGGAAGGGAATTGTTTTAATTTCGATCCAACCTGATGGAGTAAAATTGGTTATCTGAACAACGGTCAAAGGCAAAAATATCCTTGAGCTTAATAAATGTTAATTATTCTTTCAGCAAAAAAATGTTCCCAAACTACTACGTGAAAAAAATGCAAGGATCTCCACAGGCGCTGAATACCATTTGTGTGATTTACAGAAATCCAATTAATTAGCTGCAGTGTCCAGCATAGCCAAAATCTGGTTCTGATCTTTAAGCTCAAGAGTATCCATAAAGACACCCTCAGCAGTACAGCACAGTGTGATGCCCAATTTACATAACAAATCCCTCCCCAAAGTTTAGCACCTAAGTTAGTCCTTACTGAAAAGACATGAGTGTCAAACAAGGACCCTACAGTGAAAGGCAATTGCTTAGTTTCATGGTATGGTATAAAGCAGTGTTTCTCAACCTCTGCAGCTTCAAGATCTGTGGACTTCAACTTCCAGAATTCCTCAGCCAGCATGCTGGCTGAGGAATTCTGGAAGCTGTAGTCCACACATCTTAAAGTTGATAAGGTTGAGAAACATTGGTATAGAGGTACCAGAGATCCTATGGCAAAATGAGTGGTGATAGTTAAAGCTGCACACGGAAAATCCTGGGCTGTTAAACATGATCTGTCCGCACCCGTATCCACTGAAGAGAAGGCACTCTTTCCTCTCCTCCCCAGGGTACCTCAAGCTGATTTAAAGGAAACCCCTTTAAATGATGCCAGTTTGGAACTTCATGTAGATGGACCGGCTTATGTGATGGATGGGGAACAGAAGGTATAGAAGGACAACTGCCCTCAGGAGTTTCAGCTCACGTTGCTGAACTTTATGCTCTACATCATGACTGTCAGCTAGCCCAAGGAAAACGAATGAATATGCTAACAGGCTCTGGATACACATTTGATATCATCCATGACTATGGGCAATTATGTAAAGAGAGGGGTTGTTTGACAGCAGCAGGCGCCACTATAAACATGAATGGAAGCACTGAAAATGATGGGAAGGTGACACAAGAAAGGTTTATCAATATCGCTTATCAAAATGCTTCTCCGTATATCCAGATGTAGAGTTGAGTCCATAGTGTAAGTCCTTCTGAGCTGGCCCCTGTAGCATACCTGTGGCCCGGCGTTAACCTCTCCTATTATGCTCAGGCTGGTCCTAGTCAGAAACTGTGCCTTTCCTATTACATGATGAATCCAGTGAAACTTCCACAAAAGTTGCAAAATGTTGTAGTGTAGCAATTGCAATCAGAAGATACGGGGCCTAGTAATGTTGGTTCATGATTCCTTCACTGCCTGACAAAATTTGACAGCCCCTCTTTTACTCTTTATTATCATTATTATCATTTCATGGATCTATACATTTGTTTTAATCTGCTGCTATTCACTTTATTGGATTTATCTACAGCGTTATTGCTCGGTGGTCAGGGACTGTAAATTTAATAAATGGATTGCAAATGACTGTTCCCCGTCCCAGCTCTTTTGCTGGACATCTGTTGGCCTTACAACAGGCATTATTTTATCAAATATCAAATATGTTGAAATTGTTTCATATTTATCTTATTATTATTTTATTTATATTTTTTTTGTTTTAGTTCTACTAGAGTTAGCGTCCTCTGGCTGCTTCATGCTTGTAACAGGTTTTATACAGCCTTCAAGTCAGCCTTGACTCCTGGCAACTACACGGACAAGTCTCCGCAGTCTTCTAGGCAGCATTTTTGGAAGTAGTTGGCCATGGCCACCTGAGAGAGGGACTGGCTGAAAGTCATCCAGCCGGAATTCATGGCTAAGGCAGGACTAGGACTCAGGTTTCCCACATTCCACTCCAACACCTTTACCAGACTGGCTCTTGTGAACAGGTACATATTTTTGAAGACACTTAGGGTGGCACACCAATGACCTCCCAGCAAATATTTCATCAAGATGACTGCCCCAGACATTTCTGCCACCTCTCTCTCTGCCAGATATATATTACAGTTGAATTGAAAATTCTTGGAAGACGCATTTTGGCCATTTCCCCAGTGCAGAAGAAATTCAAAGAATTTTCAAAAGTGAGGAGCTTACTAGGAAAGCAAAATTCTTTTTTAAGTTTAAATGCTCCATCTCACTCTCACTCTCTCTCACTCTCTCTCTCTCTCTCTCTCACACACACACACACACACACACACACAAAGAGCTGTAAAACACAAGCCAGTGTATCTGTACTGGGAGAGAGTGGGGAACAGAAACCTGGAGACCGTGAATTCTACTACTGCCTTGGACATGACGCCATCTGGGTGACTTTGGGCCAGTCACTCTCTCTCAACCCTGGGAAGAAGGAAGCAAGGGCTAACCCCTTCCGAAAATCTTGCCAAGAAAACTGCAGGGACTAGTCCAGACAGTTGCCCGGAGTCAACACTGACTCAAAGCCCCACCACCACCACCAAAAAATATGGTCAAAATAAGGCCCTGCCTGAAGAAATGGAGGCCTTCAGGTCAACAACTTTTTAAACTGATGTGGCAGAATACCCATTTTTAGTATAAAGCACTTTGCCACTTTCTTAGTAAGCCATTTCTCATCTTCCCAGTTTCAGTTTGTCCTCTTCCAATTGAAAATTCCAACTCTCCTTCCTGGCCCTCTTTCTATAGCCCCTCCCCCACCATATTTTTGAAGGAAACCCTTCACAGTTTCAGCTAAGCTCTGCTGTATATCCCTTTTGCTTTTTTGGAGAGAAAGCTCGTGACTTAGCAACTTCTGCCCTACAAGTGTCACAAAGAACACGATGGGTCTATCGGCTCTCCTCCATTATCTTTCCGAAGCAGGTGTACAGTCATGTGAGGGCTAGTTACCTCCTGCAGTTAAGCTACACAGTATATTCAGTGGCCTGTGAAAAGCAATTTTCAGCCTATCATGGATCCAGAATCATGTCCATGATCTGATTTTTCTTCCAAATCAACTAGGGCTATTTTATTGCTTAAAAATGTTGAATGCAGTAGGTAGTTTAGCCACTACTTCCTATGAAGTGAGATGGAAGGATATGTTTAGCCCAGAGGAGAGAAGATTTGTGGAGGGAAGGGAGGCTGAGTACGATAGCCCTTTTCAAATGCCTGAAAGGATATAACAGAGAAGAAGGCCAAGACCTATCCTCTATCATTCCAGAGTGAAGAACCCAGAACAATGCATTTAAGTTACAGGAAGGTAGACTCCAACTGATTGTTAGAAAAAGCTCTGGGAGATGGTTTGACAGTAGAACCAATTAGCCAGTACGATAGTGTCTCCCTTTGTTGAAAGCGTTCAAAAGTAGGGTAGACAGGCATCTGTCAAGAATGTTTTAATTTGCGTTAAGGCTCTCTTGGTTTTCTTTCCCAACTATTAAACATTAGAAGCAGGAACCATCTCTATTTTGTCATTCTAGCACATAGACTGATGATACTGGGGAATACTTGAACAGAAATAAATTACCCATATTCTCATATAATGCTACCAAGACCAAGGATGCACAGCTTTGAAAACACAGGGGGGAAAAAAGAGTACAGTAGAGCTTTCAGTATCCAATATTGTGCAAAGCATTCAAGATGGGGTGCTTTGCAACATCTCATTCAGCAAGTAATTACAACTGATGGGCTAAGATTTACGTTCTGCCTTTCCTCCAGAAGCTCACGGCAGCATTCCAGCACATTCTCCTTCAACCAGATCAATGGCAGGGACAGACCTATAGTAAACATCCCTACTCTGCATGTGTTACGGGATCCTGAAGGAACCACCTCTTTCTGTTCATGGTATTGTGAGACAAAACCCCTTATACTACAAGCATAATCATGAGAAGAGCTGCTACACTTCCCATGTCACATGCTAGGCTTTTGAAGGAGGGCTTCGAATGTTTTGCACAGCACCAAAGTCTATTTTTCTAATACCAGCAACACAGTTTCTGTAATAATGAACCCAAACACCTTCCCTCTGTTGACAGACATTAAAGGGCTTCCCCATCCTTTGACTGTGAGCACCTCACCTGCAAAGACCATGGGTTTTGCGGACTTAAACCCAGGAAATGGCTCCACTGGTTGGTTATGTAAATAGATTGTATCTCCTATTTGGGCATCCGTAACCTCTCTCATTCCAGCAATCAAATAGCCAACCTGGCCAGCGTATCTAAATGAAAGTGGGATCACGTGGTATTATATTACGTTAAGGTATTTCAGATCATTGTAGACAAGCGGTTTAGGAATTGGGTTACATCAACTCTATAATTCTGTGACAGGTCATCGTGCCAACTTTGGGGGTTGAAGAGATGCAAACAGTTGCATATTAATGGGAAATCAACTGGTGCCTTATAGCTCCTCATTTGATGAAGAAGGTTAAGAGCACAAGGAAGACACTCTAGATTGCCATTAGCTGATTTTACCTACTAGACTTAGCATGATTACACTTCACATATATAAAGGGGGAAAAAAAAAAAGTTGTTAAAAAAAAAAACAGCCATAAGAATAAGGAATCAAACTACTTCCCAGAGCTGGACAAATAATATTTTCTCTTTCTTTGCTTTCAAAAACTTACAGTTTATGGGTTGGCCGTTCATTGGGCGTCAGAATTCCTACTTCGTTAACTTCATAAATCTTCTTAGTGTGAGCCGTTGTGATCTTATGGCCTTTATGAATTTCCCCATTAAACAGTGCAATGTTGGCAATCACCCCTCGGTAGGTATCAAATGTAGAATCAAACACCAATGCTTTCAAGGGCTCATGAATATTAGCCACTGGCCTGTTACAAGGACAGACAGATATCACAAAACCTGTTGAAAGTTATTACTCAGAATCAAGTGTTTTTCCCCAAAGTAGAGATCTGATTACAATAGCAATTTTTTAAAAAGCTATAAAAGTTCTTATAAGGACTCTCTTCTTCATGTTTCATCATACGTTAGTTGCCAAATTAAAATTAACACTCCTACATCAAGGAGACAGACAGAAACTTTATTCAGTTATTGAGACCAGATCAAGTAGGCAAGAGCAGCCCTTCATTGTTGTGGCCCTCAGAGACAACGAAGGCTACAATACCAACATTCAACACTGTGTTACTCTTTCTCTCTCTCTCTCAAGGTAAAACAATACTCAAAATAGGGATGGTAAGCTTCTGGCGACTTGACACACCAATCAGAGGAACTTCTCCATTTCCAAACTGAAAAAAAAAATGGGCTGAAGTTTTTCTCCATCTTTCCAAATAACATCAGTAAAATGCCTCCATGTGCCTTTTGGAGGCCAAAGACTAAAAATAGCAATAAACAAGTTCAATGGTGTATAAATAAATAAGTTCTATTGTTGTAACCAACAGTTATAAAATGAAGTTCTGTGATGGAATGGAATTATGAAGGCCAGGCTCACGGAGATAAGGGTTTTCTTAGTTCACCGCAAGAGCGTGGGAACTTCAAGAGGATGAGGCTGGCACCCTGAGGAATTCACGGTGTTGTGACTGGCTTGGGAGCTGGGATTTCAGTCTGGGGAGATTGTTGCTAGAGGTTGTAGCTAATAAACATAGCTGAACTGATTTTGCATTGTCTCTTGAAGTTCTTTAGGCTAAACCTGACAAGTTCAGTGATTATATTCTCTACTGACCACTAGAAGACCAGTTTCATTCTTGTTGAAACTCGTCAGACATAGGTTTAACTTTTTAGGAAGGTGCATCATCAATAGCTTCTATAACTAAGTTTAGTCTGGATGAAAAATAATGTTTGCCTAAGGCTGTTATTCAAAGCTCTGAAGTGACAACATGTACAGTCACTGAAGGAAAAATGAGACAGAAAAGCAAACTTACGGAGGAATCCTTTCAATAACTGCCTGAAGTATTCTTTCAACATTTGTTCCAAGTTTAGCTGAAATCTGAAATAAGTCAAAAAAGCAAATTTGGTCTCATTTCAGGGATTGTTATCATCTACCCAAACTAGTACAAGGCGCATGCCTCACTGATGCTTCCATTATAATAGTCCATTATATTTGAAGAACTCTTGAACAGGAATAGTGTACAAGTATGTTTATTCAACAATTAGAACCACTCATTCCACAACAGAAGGAATGGCTACATTTCAGCAATGTGAAGCTCAAGATAAAATAGGATAGTTTGTAAAACTACAGTTTCTTTCAAATCTTTTAGCTTTCCTATAATCAGCTGGAAAGAGTGCGACAGTAAAAGAGAAAACAAGAAAACTTTATGGAAGCAGTTGCCAGGAGTTAAATTCAACTGGAG